TATATATATATATATATATATATATATATATATATATATATATATATATATAGCCTTCCGATGTCTCGCAATCATATATGCTCTCTCCGCGCGAAATATGTGCGGTCGAGTATTTCGGTATCACAATGAATCCTCAAGAAAATATTCGTTGTAAAAGTATCAGCTGATTTGCCCTCGAAGCGTTCGAATATACATATATATAGCTTATGTCATAATTAAACGACGTTCCACGATTAAGTTGAAATTAGAATACGACTCTACATAACATATGCTTCGCGTTCGCCAATTTCTATTGTACAGAGTTTATTTTTATTTCTAAACGCGAAAAATATATGTGTATACAACGAAACATGATAAAAAAGAACTTTAATGATACATGTCTCCAACATGTTATAAAGGCACACGTACGCGTTAAACCTGGATTAACGCGTTTCTATTATATGTAACATTCATGATAGAGGACATAAGAAATAACTTGCCTAACTTTATTTTTTATACGTTGCGTTTATATCGAAACGTTGCATTGAATCGATTTTGGAGAGCGGAATGTTCGATTTGGAATCACTCTCTCTCTCTCTCTTTCTCCCTCGATTCAACGTAATATATTATGATAGTTAATGGTGCTAATATTCAGAACGCAATCTCTTCTATAAGGGAGAACTGCTTGAAAAGAAACATCAATTGCAATCGTTTTGCTGTTACATTAATATTCCATAAATAAAGTTAAGAGAGAAGTTATGATGACTGTGTGATCTATTTGTAAGTATATATATTAACGATAAAAATAATACCGACAACGCACAGAACAAGCGCATTTAATTAATTCATCTTGTGAAGATTAAATAGCTTTTAATGCTCACTAGTTCGCTAGTTTACTTATTTTGGGATCTTAAATTTTCATTGTAAGTTAGGATGTTTAAAACCTTAAACACTTCATGTATATGTATGTAGGACATCCCAAACTTCCAAAATGTCCTTTTAATAACAGATTTTCTAGCTATTCTGGGAACTATTTCCTTAATGAAAATGTGAAGGAAAGTCATCATTTTTGCAAACTTTCAATTTTTGCCATACATCATATATCTTTGTAACTAAATTTTAAATTAAAATCCCCCTCTCCCCTTATTAAAATAAACTCAATCTTAAGGTAAATGAAGAATGTTATCGTGCTAATCTTTCAACTCCCCACAAAATTTAGTTAGTAAAAGGCCTTTCTTCTTCAATCGCTTATAATCGGAAATTATTGATACCTCGACATTTTCATGCAGGAAAAGTTATCTCTAAATTGGCGAAAAAATTTGTTATTAAAAAGATATTCGGCTTTTGGAATATTCTGTGTACACGGCACACACGCGCGTGCGTGTGTATATATATAATAATTTATTAACTTATACCATCATTACCCGCACCCACTTTCCTGAAATATTTCATCCACTGCAAAAATGGGATTACAAAATCGGGTAATTTTTTCATGTATGATAAATGCTATTGTACTAAATATTATTTATTCCTTATAATACATTTATACCTCAAATGTGGTATGTCAAACTGCAAATGTTATAAAAACTGTACAGTCTTACACATCCTAATAATATCTTTAAAAATATACAATGTGTACTATCTAAAAGAAAACATGCATTGTTTTTGAAATAACGAATTTGCATTGTAATGAATGAACTTCCAATTAATTAATTTGGTTTTGATTCTTCAGTGTCGTTAATTGCTCCGAATATTCGAGGTATAACCTTTGCCAACGAAGATGACTACCAATTACGGCTAATACATCACCCAAAAGTTTATGCTTTTTTATTCCCTACATTCGACATAAGAAATAAATTAATTATAAAGTATAATTAAAGAAAAATACATAAATTATTTGATTATTAATTAAAGATCATTAATTAAAGATTAATGATATATAAACAATATTACCAAAATTGCAGGTTCCCACATGCTTTTAGAAGCTGATGTGTGACTTGGGCCCAAAAGATCGTCCAAAATTAATCTTAGACGTTTCTCCAAATCTAAAAAGATATTATAAAAACGATTCAATAGCTTAGATGCACGAAAACGTGACACAAATTGCATTACGCACCTTGTGTTAATAAAAATGACACTAAGGCCATGAGCCAATAAACATATTCTTGTGCACTTCCAAGAGCTTTAGATGCAAGCAATTGTTGTTCTAAATAAGAAACCACGCTTGGTGCGCTATGTGGTAACCGTGGATTTGGCAAAGTATTGCCTGCTGTTCTGAGTAATCCTTCTTGCAGTGACGATAAAGGTCCCCTAGGAGCTCTATTTCCAGAAGTGCTCAGTACATTGAATGACGACCATCGCCATACCGGATCTTGGCTATCTCCAATTAACAGCCATGTTCCTATACAATATTCAATGATCGTTACAGTCATGCATGAATGAGAAAAGAAAAAAGGAGAAATAACCATACCCATATCTTTATGATATATATATGCTCGTGCGTTAGTAAATGCTACATGAGGCATTCCATTGTACAAAGTGCACGATAGTAGAGATGTTCCAGGCGCAGCCAAATGAGCGGCTGAAGTTGAAACAATCATTCTACATGTATTCCCTATTTCCCACACACGAACTGCACCACAGCTTGATATCACCATCACCTATTATATAAATTATTTTATAACTATAAACAAACACAATATTACATTGTTTAAAATCACAAGATTTAAAATCATTATAATCTAATTTTTCATGCTATAGATATGCCAAATACATTTATGACAATTGCTAAGTCTTATTCGGAAATAAATGTAAAAATTATTATTGCATGTCGGATCCAAGTTAACAAAAATTATAAGAATCTGCAAATTTACGCACGCGTGCGTATACACACTCTATGTGTATGTTTCCCATATATGTTTCCAAAACTATGATTATATAGAAAAAATAATCGATTAACAATCGGAAATTGAACAAAATACCGCGTTTCCAACAGCGTGAACTTTTGCCAATGGTGCTGGCGGTGCGAATGGCGGTGCTGGCCGCGATCCTTTCACAGGATGAAATGTGTGAAGACTTCCATCTTCCAAACCCAAGGCTATCACAGCCGGTGATGCCGCTAACGCCACAGCGCTATATCCTAAGTAGAGATCCCATGTCGATTCGGAATCTGTGCCTCTGAATACTTGCAAATGAGCTAAGCCCTGACTATTAGTGACCGTCACGGCATAATGACCTGCCTGCTGAGACAATGAGCTGGATGGCTTCAGCGGAGGAAGTAACATTTGACCTCCAGTCTTATCAGACACAAATTTAGGTCTTTTATTCGGTGAAGAGTGATGTATTCTCGGTGTTGATTGCTCCTTGCGTTTCAATGTAAGGGAAACTGCCGGAACATCAATAGCGGGCGATTTTGCGGATGACGAGGTAACATTGGGCGCGACAACATCATTGCGTTTCTCTATCACAATTAAACTTTTTGTTTGTACTTTGCTTGTGAATGTCTGTGTGCCTAAACCGCTGCTGATATTTGTGTCTCTAAAAATTGATAAATAGATTCAATGCAAGATTAAAGATTAAATTTAAAATTTCTCGCGACAAACTAATTTAC